GGAGTTCAGAAAACAGCCTCGCTAAACCAGCTGAAGATCATGAAAGCTTTTCCATCTGTTTCTCCAAGACCTTGCGGTCGTCACATAACAGACATTTCAATATTTATTTTTTTTAGAAAACATTTTTGGTTGAACTTTATCTGAATGTAGGGGGAAATTGTTTTAAGTGCTAGCCTTCATTTTTATTCAAGTTTGCACATTTTGGCACATTTTCGTCAGGATATAACACTGTATTTTACCATTAGTAAAATTACTAATGGTAATTTTAAATCATTATATTATTGAATTAACATTTATAGTTGAATTATTATGTATGTATATATATTTTTTTTAATATTTATTTAATATTTCATTAAAATTTTTATTTTATTTTATTTTAATTTGTAATTAATTTTATTTTTGAAGAATCTTTGCAGGCTTTATCCTTGGACTCCACTTTTAAAAAAGTTTATTTTATTTGTATTTTTTTTTTAATTTTATTTAAATTTTATTAAATTTTTTTCTTATAATTAATTTTATTTTTGAAGAATCTTTGCAGGCTTTATCCTTGGACACTTTTTCAATATTTTTTAAAAAAGTTTATTTTATTTGTGTTTTTTATTTTTTTATTTACATTTTTATTATTATTTTTTTCTTATAATTAATTTTATTTTTGAAGAATCTTTGCAGGCTTTATCCTTGGACTCCACTCACTTTTTCAATATTTTAAAAAAAGTTTATTTTATTTTTTATTTCAATTTTTATTTGTTTTTCTTATAATTAATTTTATTTTTGAAGAATCTTTACAGGCTTTATCCTTGGACTTTTTCAACGTTTTAGGTTGAAGTTTGTCTGAATGTATAAAGAAAATAGTTTTAGGTGCTCGTCCTTATTCTTATTAAGGTTTGCATCATTTTAAACTAGTCCTGCGGGGTGACAGATGAATAGTTATTCATAACATTTAAAATAGGCATGTGATGTCTGAGAAAGAGTGAACTGCGCCCTCTGCTTAAAAACCTGCTTAAAAACATCTATTGTCAATAGTTTTATCTAGCCATGTCAATTCTACTGTTATCTTGTGCTTTGTTCCATTGTGTTTGATTGTACAGTACTTTGGATCAGCCTGGAGTTGTGTTAAAGTGCTTTATAAATAGAATGAAAGAAAGAAAGATGTGATGAATATTTAAAAATGTACAAATATTCCATACAGTCTGAATTAACATGAAGCCATGAAAATAATAGATGTATTATTTCCAATTAATATGCATGCATAATAAATCCAGAACTGGTTGCTAGGCAATGATGATAGAAATGCCCTGTGGTGAATGCCAGTGAAATAAATCCTTGCGTTTTCTCTCTCTGACATGTTTGTGTTTGGCTATTTCTTTACTTCTGAATGTCAGTACATTATGGCATTAGCATTACACACACAGTTTGATGCTCTTTCTGTAAAGCAAAGTGCTGATACACAGTAAATCTGTGTTTCTCGTCCTCCCACACGAACATCACAATGCATGAGATCTGCATTTGTGTCACTGATAAAAGCACCATCAGCTGCTCTGTGTGTGTTTGCATTTGAAGACATTTCTTTATAACCCTGCATTGATTTTGTGTATGATATTTGTGGAAAGCATAAAATAAAGCATGTTTTTGCACTGCAGTATTGCATCCCATAATGCAGCAAGCTTGATTTGACCTTCTGTTGCAGTCTGACCAAATAAACCTTGAGCAATTACAGCAGTTTTTTTGTTTTACATTTTCACTGTTAAAAATGTGATTTTTAAATTAAATTATTTCTCAAATAATAATTGCGTTGAATTATGCATGCATCAATGGTTACTGTTTATATCTGTATAATGCTTAATGTTTCACTTACACTGAAAAAATCTTCAGTCAACCCTATTTTAAAGGTTGGTTGAATTATCGAATGTAGAAAAAGTCGTTATTGCATACAAAAATTAAAGTCAATTTTTAGGCCATTAAGTTTGAGCAACTTAAAATATTAAATAGCAGGAACTTACAATGTAACAAATACAAGTATTTGTTATTCAGAATTATTATTTAGTGTTTTGGTTGTATTTTGTTGTAAAAGTTTTGCTATGTTTCAAAATCAAGTAAAATATATTTGTATATTGTTTTTCACAATGCACAGTTTCGAAGCAGCTTTGCAGAAAGTCTTGTTGTTAATATTTATAATATCTTAACATCTTCATGCCTTATAGTCGCATTGAGCAAATGAGAACTGGACGATAATACAGTTACATTTTGTGACGATATAAACAATCAAACAGCTGTGCAATAATATAGTTTAGAATTTGTAACAGCAATTTTTAACAATAAATAGAAATCGAGTTTTTAATATTTATTTCTTTACTTGTGTGTATGTGTGCAGTAGAGTTATTAATGTTCTCTTCAGTGAGGTTTCATCCCAGTTGTTTCAGTATATACAATTTGTTTGATGTATAGAAATAAATCTCTGTAAGCTTTTCAATTTGCTAAACAAACGCATAGACAAGATAAACTAATGCCAAATTTACACTGCAAAGGTAGCACAGAAGAAGCGCTTCTGAAGTGGCATTTAAGTGTTTTTACACAGGCTAAAAGGTGGCATAAATGTATTTACACATTTACGATTTAGAGTTGAGGTGGGTCAGAGCCGGCATAATTTTGTCTGGGTTTTACACTGAACTTTACATGCTATTACAAGTCTTTATGCTGTATCTTGAGCAGGCACAGAGCAGCCTTAACTCAGCTGTGTAAAGATGCCTTAAAGTTCTACATCACAATTATGTAATGGTAATGCTCAGACACATTTGAAACCACAAAGGTGGCATAGAAGTGCTTCTAAAGTGGCATTTAAGTGTCTAACACACAGACAGTTTAATGCTGCTCAGAGGTGGCATAAATGCATTTACACAGCAATTACATCTGTATACTTTGACACTTAGGGGCTGTTGGGGGTCTGAGCAGTCATAATTTAGTCTGGCTTTTATGCAGCACTGCATCTTTACGCTGGATTTTGAGCAGGCACAGAGCAGCCTTAACTCAGCTGTGTAAAGACACCTTAGGAAGGTTCTACATCACTATTAGTTAATGCTCAGCCACATTAAACTGCAAAGGTGGCACAGAAGCGCTTCAGAAGTGGCATTTAGGTGTCTTTACACAGACTGTTTAATGCTGCTCAGAGGTGGCATAAATGCATTTCCACAGCATTTACAACTGTACACTTTGATACGAGGGACTGATGTGGGTCAGAATCGGCACAAATTGGCAGTCTGGCGTTTACACTGAATTTTACGTGCTTTTACATGTCTTTATGCTGTGTCTTGAGCAGGCACAGAGCAGCCTTAACTCTGTTGTGTAAAGATGCCTTAAAGATATATATCACTATTAATGTTAATGCTCAGACAAATTTACACCGCAAAGGTGGCACAGAAGCGCTTCAGAAGTGGCATTTAGGTGTCTTTACACAGACTGTTTAATGCTGCTCAGAGGTGGCATAAATGCATTTCCACAACAATTTAGTCTGGCTTTTATGCGGCATTGCATCTTTACACTGAATTTTAAGCTAGCACAGAGCAGCCTTAACTGTGTAAAGACACCTTAAGAAAGTTCTACATCACTATTGATGTTAACGCTCAGCCAAATTACACTGCAAAGGTGGCACAGAAGTGCGTCTGAATGTTGTATTTCCACAGCAAATGCAACAATTTAGTCTGGCTTTTACATTGAATTTTGCATGCCTTTACATATCTTTACGCTGAATTTTGAGCAGGCACTGAGCAGCCTTAACTCCACTGTGTAAAGATGCAAAGTTTTTTTGAACTTGGATCTGCGCATCCGACGTGACGTCGAGAGTGACCGACTGAAAGGGAACATGATTATGCTTAACAGTATCATGTTTGCTGAAAGCACAGATTTAAATTAAGTTCATACAGCAGTTTTTCCATAAAAAGTCCTGAAGCTAATTGCCTCAAGTTTTTCCGTTTTCTCAACTTCTGATTTCTTACAGTGTACATTTTACATTTACAGTACATACTATGTAGTATTCAGTAAGTTTGAAGCTGGTATTTCATGCCAAACAACCAATTACTGTAAATACTGGATTTTTTTCTTTTTCATTTGATTTATGATTTTGTTAACATCTATTATGGCATCAGAGGAATATCTCACTCCACCCTGTAACCTCTATAAGTGCATCAGATGGAGGTTTAATGCGATTCAAAGACTGCTGTGCTCTTTCCAGACCCACACACTGTTTGACTTTGGCCGGCGTGAAGATGAGACGCTCTTGGCTCAAATCCTCGCTTCGGTATCCAAACGCAGTGGCTCTGCGCCCAGTGACTCAACCTTTATCTGCGCGCCAGTGCAGGAAAAAACAGAAAAACAAACCACAGCCATGTAATTTAGTAGCACGCACTCCCGCTGATACCAACTAACCTGATTAAATCTGCCCGTTACAGCCAGCTGAGCTGATTTATTTACCTTGTTCAATCTTGAATTTATCTCACTTACAGCAAAATCAGTCACTTCACTAGAGTATTAATACAAGGAGTAACGGGTTAAATATTAAATGTTATTTAAAATGATTTAATTAAATGTGCTTGTTGTTTTGCTCTTATGTTTATCTGTGATTATGATTACCTGCCAAGGGACCGCGGATGAAAACTAGCCTTTGGCTAAATTCGGTACAATGCATGAAATGGAAACATTTATGTTAAAATTGTACATGATCCCTTTTCAAATAAATTTTAATAATAATAATAATAAACGAACTATAATTACTGAGCTGTACATCAAGTCATCATGACAACAGAACAGTGTTATTTTAGTATCATTGAGATATTATTGTAGTTTATATTAATATTTTGAATCGGTTTTATTTTTATATTTTCTGTTTTCATTTTAATTTTAGGTCAAATGTAAGGTGAAATTTTAGTAATTTTTTTGTGTGTTTTTGTCAATTTTAGTAAACACACACACACACACACACACACATACATATATATGTGTATATGTATATGTATACGCTGCAGACGCTGAGACTCAGAGGAAACCAGCTGAAGCTCGTGCCCATGGGAGCCTTCGCACGGCTGGCCAACCTCACCACACTGGACCTGAGTGAGAACAAGATCGTCATCCTGCTGGACTACACCTTCCAGGATCTGCGCAGTCTCAAGAGCTTAGAGGTTAGTGTCATGAAACCCACCCTGTTTCACACCTCGGATCTGAAAAAGACTCCAGAAATGGGCGTGTAAAACTGTGGAAAAGTGGGAGTGTAGAGGGTGGGAAGAGGGGAGAAAACAACCAATAAAACACAGACCTACAACACACTCGTTATAAAATATATTTAAAATAGAAAGAATAAAGGCATACACTCTTAAAAATAAAAGTTCTTCACGATGCCATAGAAGAACCTTTTTGTCTAAATGGTTCCATGAAGAACCTTTAACCTTTCTGTTTCACAAAAGCTTCTTTGTGACGAAAGAAGGTTTTTCAGATTATAAAAAGGTAAGAAAGAGATGTTTCTTTGACTGAATGGTTCTTTGTGGAACCAAAAATGGCTCTTCTATGCCTATGGCATCGCTGTGAAGAACCTTTTAAGCACCTTTATTTTTTATCTTGGCTTTATTTTTGATAAATAATGCGATGACATGTGATTCTGTTCATCTGAGGATTTATTTTCCAAATTTAAAGACCTGCCAGGTACCAGATAATTGTTTATTATGTCCTGATACAGAAAACCATGGAATTCAATAGGGTGTCCTAACTTTTTCACATGACTCTATATGTGTGTGTGTATATATATATATATATATATGTGTGTGTGTGTGTGTGTGTGTGTGTGTGTGTGT